TCAGTAGTAAACCAAACTAACGGGTACAGTCCAACATATATCAGGCGATCACCTCGTCAGGTGACCTTTGCATTACTTATGATATAAAACATTACCAGTTATTATTAATGAGCTAACATTGCTAGTTTTAATAATATTTGATCTATTCTTTTTCTTCAGTCCTTTAGTTCTTCTCTTTTCTTGATACAAATTAGATTTAAGCTAAAAATAACGTTTACTACTCTTTTGCGATAAATGACAATAGTATAATAAGATTTAAGAAGTTTTAAATTTCCTTTTCAAGTAAACGGAGATTGCATGAGTAAACGCTAACAGACGATGAATTAGAAGTAGATAAACATGTATTTGTTAGTTAAAATCAGATTTAAAATTTTGAAACTGGCAAGAATGAACGAATTTATTTTCAGTCATCATCCCCGATCAGTGAGGATTGCTTAGTGGTGATTCGCATGCGAGCAGATGCCCAGGGCCGATATGGCTTCAACGTGAAAGGTGGTGCTGATCAGAATTACCCTGTTATTGTAAGCCGAGTTGCGCCTGGCAGCTCTGCTGATAAGTGCAATCCTAGACTAAATGAAGGAGATCAGGTATGTTTATTAAAGAGTAAGGGAATAGTTCTCTTTAATTGACATTATTTCAATTTATATTTAGAAGTATTCCTGTTGTGCTTATCTTTTTACAAAACCTATTACTGTGACATTCGAATGAGAATGGTGATTAGATCACCATATTTGTATACCGAAGTTAACAATTTTGGTTGATTTTTTTGTTATCTATTGAATTGCAGGTTTTATTAATTAACGGTATGGATGTATCTTTGATGCCACATGAAAAAGTTGTTCGATTCATTCGTGCCACACGTGATTCACCCAAAGGAGAATTGGTACTTACAATTAGGCCGAATGGTACGTATTAGACTATATTAGAATTCAAAAATTTTTTGCGCTTTATTAGAATTCAAAAATTTTAGTTGCATTAAGTAATTTCTGCCTTGAAATTATAGTTTATCGATGCGGTGATGATGTAGAGGAGTCGGATGCGCAGCATTTACCTGAAGTACCTCACGTAGCTGACACAGTGCCGCGTTCTGATAAACTATCACAATCTCTCATCATGCTCAAAGAGTCCCTATCATCTGGAAAAATCATAACACAATTCGAGGTCGGTGTTTAAATTTTGATTTTCTGCTTTCTTTTGCTATTTTTGACACTAACTGAATTTTTAATCAGCCTATTGTTTGGAAAGGTAAGATAGTATTTTTTGTAATACAATTAATTTTGCTTTCATTTATCATTCAGAGCAGAAAAAAAGAACTTTGGAGATTCTGTATCTTTAAAAATCTAGGAAAAGTTTTAAATTCAAAATCAAATAAGCTTTTAAGATAAAGATATGGAAACATACCTTCTCAACCTACTCATCGAATTTCAAATTTTGACATGAAGTAAAAGAAAAGTATGCATATGTTATGATTTTTTTAAAAAGAATTTTTTTTTGATTATAGCAGTTGTATCGGAAAAAACCGGGTTTAGCAATGGAAGACAGTAAATTACCATTGAATGTTAATAAAAATCGTTATCGTGATGTGTGCCCATACGATAGTACCCGCGTAAAGATAAGTGCACCTTCTGGTGATTATATCAATGCGTCCTTTGTCAACGTAAGCATTTCATTTTTTCCAATATCATTTTTAACTGTCATCTATTGTTTCAAGCAGTTAATAACTTTCTTTTCAACATAGCAAAATACTTTCATTTTCATTTTATAAATTTGTCAATTTTAAAAGTAAAATAAATGAAAGCAATTAGTGAGGATCAAATTGTGATAAATAAATTTCAAGAAAAAAAATAAAAAATAAAAATGATACGTACAGAAAAAGAATTTTCGTTACACTGATCAAAACTTAATAAGGTCAGTTATTAAATACTAATAATGAATGAATTTAATGCTTGATAAATATAACGCAGATGGAGATCCCTTCAAGTGGTATCGTTAATCGATACATAGCAGCTCAGGGACCACTTGCGCATACATCTGGTGATTTCTGGTACATGGTATGGGAGCAATTATGTACAACGATTGTTATGCTGACTACTACCATTGAACGAGGTCGTATTAAATGCCATCAATATTGGCCTAGGCTTTATGAAAATCACGATTATGGCCATTTGCAAATTTCTTGTATCAGTGAGCGGGGAACTGTCAACTGTGTTTATCGCGAAATATCAATTAAGGATATGATGGTAAGCTAATTTTTAATTGAACATTATTAATATAAAGAATCTACAATGAGTCTAATCTAGTTCAAGCTTTTTTCCAAGAAAATCTTGCAACAAAAACTGTTTTATTGCAATCATTTAAAAAATTTGCAGACTAAAGAAGAGAGACGGGTAAGCCAAATGCAGTACACAGCATGGCCTGATCATGGTGTACCTGATGATCCGAAACATTTTATCGAATTCGTTGATGAGGTGGGTCCAGATTTCCATCCTTTTACTTATCTATCAAGAATATACTCATAATTAGATGGTATTTCTCTCATAAAATGTCATTTAAATTATTAGTAATTAATTCAAGTTGGAGATTCGAACTCTTATGTTTAAAGTGTCAAAGAAGACCTAAGAAATTTAGGTTCGACGTGCACGAGCAGGTTCTGTAGATCCAATTGTTGTGCACTGCAGTGCAGGAATCGGACGAACTGGCGTACTAATCTTGATGGAAACAGCCGCTTGTCTGGTGGAAGGTAATGAACCGGTGTACCCTCTAGATATTGTTAGGACAATGCGTGATCAAAGGGCTATGCTTATACAAACACCGGTATCATTTTTCATCTTCAGACTCCTAAATTCTTTAAAGTGGGGAAGTTTTTGCTAAAAAAATTGATATATGAATATTAACTAAAACATGAATCATGTTAAGCAGATATGTATGAAGGCGTCTTATCCTTAAGAAAATATTAAATATTCACTTAGGTCAAGTTCTCATTTATTTGAAAGACTTATCAAGTGATGTAGTAGATTCAAATATTGTTTCACAAAGATTGAGTAAGTTATGTATGAATCGAATTATAACTAGTACTTGCGAAAAATCAGACCAGCGACATTCGCTTGAAAAAATTACAGATTAAATGTTGAATTCCAAAGCACTAAAAAAAATATTTGCAATTAGCTGAATCGAGCAGAAGCTTTTGCTTGGATAGTTTAATCAGATATCACTGTTTTAGCAATTAGTAGCATCTGTCATTAATTTCTTACTAACTAACGAAGAATCCTGTAATCAGGTTAGAGATCTGCAAAATTCAATACTCTTTACGTAACCAATATTTATTAATGAATAGTAAATTTCAGGGTCAATATACATTCGTATGCGAATGCATCTTGCGCGCTTATCATGATGGTCTGATAAAGCCATTAGCAGAGTATTGTATGCGGTCTTCCTGATCGCAGCAATACATTAATATTATTATTATTATTATCATTATTACTATTACTATTGTGACATAATGCTGATCTGTCTGTATATTTCATATGTTATGCCATTAGGTCAAGTTTTAACGAAATTTAAGTGTCTAATCGTGTTGAACGTTGCTCTTAGCAATAAGACTTTAATTGAAGTTCGATCAAACAATATGTTAAAAAACTTCATCTTGACCGAACTTTCAACTTTCTTTACTATATTGTCAATTTGTTTGCCAAATGTACTTGTTTTTAATCATATTGTAAGAACACTATGCAAATTATCGTACTTCATCCTGTTCTACTCAAAACAAAAACATTCGAGGTTTCCCCAATTTATAGTGATGCTCTACGTCAATACTTCTTTCCATCATTCTTGAAAGGTATGGAAAAGATATCATCGGCGAAACTTCACATGATCAGGATTTTAAAATGATGTAGCTGAATACAGATAACATTCTCCCGTGTCAGTAATATTCAGTCTTAACTTTCCTTATTCGGAGCGTGTAATAAACAGATGGATTTCTCCGAAGAAGCGAAGAATGAAAGTGAATATTAAAGAGTTCTCAAAAAGATTTAGGAAGTATATGGAGAAATACCTCCTGGAAATTTGACTTGACCTACATGGATTTTGCTGTACACTCAGGTTAACTACACTCACTCAATGAGTATTTACATACCGTGATTGCTAATGTCGACGTTTGTAATGTACGGTACTCAGTCTATAGAGAATATTATTAAGTACTTAAACAATCAGAAGAGAGCCGAAAATACTTCATTGAATCAATGAGCAGCAGCTGAATTCTTCTAAAAAAATTGAAAATATCCAGAATTTAATCAAGATCTCGTATCAATTTTCTGAACTCTTGCTCAGAACAATTAAAAACTGGGTAGTGCAAGAGGAAAATAAAAAGGATACCAATAGTCAAAAACTGAAAAAAGTCAATTGTCAACTTCCCCATAGATGTGCATTTATGAAATAAAGCATCCTTATATTTCATACATGATGTTGGGTGAGTCATGATGACTTGCCATGTTTAAACATAATTAAGTAAACACACGGAATTCTTGGTCTCAGCAAAAGTGCAAAATAATCTCAGTATGATATTATTACCTTATCTTTTTCTTCATCACAAATTTATGTGTTCATATAGCCTTTCAAATATGAAGAGAAAAAGCTAGCAAATAAAATTAAGTACGGGGCAAGGCATACGAAGCAAACCTCGCGGTACCGTACAATATTACCTATTCCTTTAAAATATAAAATAATAAGTACCGTGCGACGGATATAGATGTTATAGATTACTGGTAAATAATTATCAACGTATAAATATGGACATCATCAAATTCGTTTCTACAAAAAATTGCTAAAAAACAGCATGTACAAAATTGTTGCAACATGAAAGAACATAAATATTAACGATGGAGGATCGAGCTTTATTCTGCTTCCATCGAAGCAGAAAAACTCAATTTTCAAATGGAAACTGATAATTTTTGTCATAACTCGAAAACACCAATAGAATCTGATAAGACAAAGTAACAAATAAACTATGCCGTACTGATGGCTTGCACCAACCCCTGCTTCTCCAATATTCTAAGGCGCTTCTCCACTGCATTCTTATATTTCGAAAGAACTAGTTTATCTGCTTCACTCGACACTTGCTCTGACAGTGTATGCAACATCATATAGGCCGTCTGGTACCTGAAAAACTACAATTTCAGCTAACAGTTACTTGAATGGAAGAAGGCATACAGTGAGTGAAAATCTTCTGAGATGCTAGGATATCATTGTTCTTCACTACTATCGACTCTCGCTTTATCGTTTTACTTTCTGAATATAAATTTATGAACCGTATCACGGATTAAACATTTTATACCTGCCAAATATATAAACTGATGTTTTCTTCCAATTGATGTCCTTTCAGTTTTAAGAGAAAATAGAAACAAAACTGGTGTAAAGATGTAGTAAAATAATATACGACTACCGCTGAGAACAAAGATGTGGATTCCCAAAAAGTTCATCTAGAGCAGCACTTTGACAAAGCTGAATAGCATGTTTATACATAATTCGCTCAGCTGATATTACCGCCATGGCAGGATTTGGACCTGGCAGCCCAAGTGATGCTAACTCCTGCGATCGTATCTGAAATAACATCGCAAAATGTTACTCAAGAAATTCAACTTTGAACATCGTACCAAGAACTTAGGACTGTCTTAAGTTTTAGAATTCGTTAAGTGTTGAAGATTTTATGAAAAGCTTCTTATCATAATAGATCCTATTTGAAAATTAAATACAACCATGTTTTCAAAAATAAAAAAAGCCTACCAAACACTGATGATATTTATCATTCAATTGATTTAGTACATGCTGTACAGCTGGTGATGGGTGCAAGGTTTCTGATGCGACCTGTTTCTGAGCAAGAAGAAGAGCTGAAGAAAGCATATGAAGCGCTCGAACATATACAACTAGTTGCTCCGCTCGACGGTATGCATCTGATCGTTCTTTCTTCTACAACAAATATGAGAAGTACTCAATCAACTTGGAAATTTGAAATGAAAAAGCCTAAGTAAAATGAAATAATAATAAAATGAGCTCATATCTAAAAGAACTTTATAATATTAAAAGAAATTAACCTTCCGTGGCGACATCGAAAGGGATACAAGATTTCCCCTGTCTTCAGCAACATTAATAAGTGTCTCAACTAATTCAAGTACAAATCGCAACTTCGCTAACACTTGAACATGTTCCGCCTAGAAATTGAAGCATTTTTATTTAATATGAAGTATTTATTTGACAAGAAAAATTAGACGAAAACTGGACACTTTAAGGTTTTACAACTCAGCAGGGACAAAAAAATGTCAAAATAATGTAAATTCAATTTAGAAACCACTAGAAATCTATTAAGAAACTTGGCAGCTAGTAATTATGCAACTGAAAAATAGAATAATCAACAATATCATGCGAATGTATATGGAGCAAAAAAACGAACGCCCATAAGAGTTTCCTGCTCCAGCGACGGTGCAATATCATTCAGTGATGGAATAGCATTTTGATTAGGTGCTGATGCATTCGTATTTGACGCATCATGGGCGACCTGAGTTCCTGTACAGATTCCCTCATCTACTGATTCGCTTTCCATGAGTTGCGAACGAGAAGACAAACCTATAACAAAGAGTAAGAGTTAATAACTAAAAAGTAAATGCCAGTGTATCAGAATATATTCAAAGCAAAATTGTTAGGCTACCTTAACATTAAAAAGTAAGCAGAATCCCAAACTTCTCAAATCATGTTTTGAAAAAAATCTTGTTGGCGAAGTATTCTGTTAGTATGGCATAAAATAATTTTAGAAATTTACTGGATGCAAATGGAAGATGGATCGGCTGACTGAGTTCAGCGTCCTCTTCTTCCTCACTCAGACTGCTACTGTAAAAGAAAAACATTATTTTTATAATTTAAAAGGATGTTTTGAATTCGCAGTAACTTTTTATTACCAAATATAACTGATACTTTAAAAAGTTGCTGAGTCGACTGATCAACAGCAAGTGATAGATTTAAATATTGGAGCTGAAAAGAAAACACTGTTTAATTTGAAAACATTTTTCAAACAGCAACGTCACATTTCAAGTTATATGATTGCAACCATTAAGTTCAAGTCAAATCTGATCTTCCTGTTCTTTAATAGCTCATCGGTTTCATAAATTACAAACCTCGTTGAAATTTCATTGGTAGCTCGTGGAGTTACACGAACAGTAAGCGATGCACAAGATCGCGGTGGCGATACCGAAAGATATTTTAGATTATCCACTGGAGGTATAGGTGAGGCCTGAGGTGAACTCGGTCTTCCCACATCCCCTTCTTCCATACAAGATTGAATGTTTTCCACATTGCTGTTTCGTACTTCCGTTTTTTCCTTGTTCGTTAGCGTTTCATTCCCAGGAGTAGCATGAACGACATTCATGGCGTCCAGTTCCGGAACTGCTTCCAGAATTTTTCGACTGCAGCCTCCGCTGGTAGCATTAGAAGTAGCAGAAGGAGTTAATTCCGGTGACGAACTAGCATCAGAAGTAGTTGCAACGGTATCAATAGTATATCTTCGTGGTCGACTTAGTAATGCCGTATCACACTGTGATGTCCGTGAATCCTTCACGATAAATTGTGCTGAAATTTCAGTTATTAAAATATCAGAAACATGAAGAATTAATGCAAAGGAGATGTTTTATGATAAAGTTAAACTTTCTATTCTATAAGAAGTAATTAAATCGCACTTTACTGAAAAGTTATAAACTCATGGACATGGAAAATCAAATCACAGTCAAACTAATTTTTTGCCTTGAGTAGATCAAGAAGAGATGCGAAAAGCAATCTAACGGTGAAGATTAAAAGAATAGAAAAAATCTGTTATCTCAGCAGGAGATATGCCCCAAAATCTAAAAACTAATAAATTGTTAGACTTCTCTAGTTAAATTTAATAAAAATAGCAGACAAATAATAGAGGATTTTCATAAAAGAGGAGATTTTCGAAGTCGTACAGAGAAATAAAAAACAATTATTCTTTTGATAACTAAAAATGTTTAATTTAATTTTTTTGGCATGTGGTGTACTTGAACTTCAACAAAATGAAATGAAAAAATTAAGTAAAAACTAACTTGTGGGCAAACTAATATATTCAATGGAAGGAACTTTGGACTCAGCAGTGATAGCAGCACCACCATTCACACTTCGTGCACTACATCGCTGAATGCTTGCCACATGATTATGATGTGTAGAAGAGCCATTTCGCCTTTCTTCCATTTTTGCATATGCCAGCCTCTGACTTGGTACCGGCACAGCACGTGCATTAGATGCACCATTAAAAATCTGAAGCATTAACAGAGTTTGAATCGTACGACATTTTCATCTTTCAGCTTCAACTTTAATCCATTTCACAATTAAAATGGTTCCTGAGGAGGTGCCCTATCAAACTGATGCACAGCATTTCGAGGATATTTCCACGGAGAAAAAAAATGTTCGATGCATCTTGTAGCGTAATGCACACGTATTAAATCGCACTGGAATGTGATAGTCGCATCCAAGTAATGATAGCAAAAGGTGATTCGAAGGACAATACACATATAGAATACCTTAATCTGTTTGACATGATTTCCCGAATATGAGTCAATATTTGGGTTTGTTGCAGAGAACGGTCGCCGAGAAACAAGAGGTGAATACGTTTTTGATCGACTATTAGCAAGGGGAATTTGAGTGCCATGAAGTGATGGTAGGAATGTGAAGTCGTCAGAATCGGACACAACTCCTGCCTGTCTTGGTGTCGGAAAGGTGCTGTGTCTGAAAAGAGTAGGTTACAGAAATATGTTATCAGCTAAAGTAAAACATAAGTTAAGGTAGCAAACAACATAATGCTTAGAAGAAGGGAAACAAAAAAGTCCGAATTAAAGATACCAAATTACCAATTTGTATCTAATGAAAGATTTTGATACTGTTATGGGATTTTAATCTAATGAAAGAAAAGTAACATACCGCGAGCCGGTAGGATGAGGTGAATCCAATTTTGAACTGGCAACAGTACGTCCGGCAACAGTTGGTGATGTTGTAGCAGATATTGCTGCTCGATGAGATGGCGAAGAGATGAGTTGTGGTAAGACAGCCAAATCGTGATGTTTGCCAGATGCATGACTTGTTGTGATGAAAGGGTGCGAAAAGAAAGCCTCTGCAGTGAATTTAAAGTAGCCTAAACTCTTATCAAACAAATTCATATAATCAGAAAAATTCGTTCATTTCCCATCTTGTATTCACAGCTTTGTAGTATTCCAATCAATATTGCAAAGTATCAGATCAAAAGCAGACGTAAGAAAAAAAACAGGTACATTAGTAGTTTGTAAGAAAACGAAATGCTCTAGAATTTTGGCATTCAATACTAAAATTATTACCCGGCATCCAATGTTGCGGATTATCCAAACAAAAAATTAAATCAATTTTTGAAAAATCAAATCAAAAGCCATTAACATTCAACAATCATTTACTCCTTCAAGAAAAAAAAACCCAAAAGGAGAGAAAAAAAACATCTAAAGATCAAATTTATTATTTAGAGAGTTCAAAGCTCAGAGGCTAAGTCTTCGATTTCTGAATCTGATTGAGTATTCCCTGATTAAGCATCAATATCACCAAATACATTTTATGTTAATATCAATTCGTAATTTGTCCTCATGACTTTACATGATTTTTTCCTCTTATTGGAAGAATCCAACATCTAATAAGTTACACGAACATAACTAACTGATAAATAATATATAATATATTGTTTATGAAGTGCAAATGAATCAATTTTTACTTAATGATATAAATTTCACCTAAATAATTTAATGCTAGTTATGTTCTAAATAAACAATTTTCTAAAGCAAAATTTTAACTAATAATTTTTCCAAAAGGACAGTTAAGTGATGAGATGTTATTTAAATTTTTCCAAACTCTATTTATATTTGGAAATGAAACAAATTTCATTACCGAATTCGATGCGATCTTTGGAATTTCTTTTCAGCAGACCAAGGAGTAAATCTTTCAGTAAAGGACTGCAATATGTCGGAATGTTCGGCCGAAGCTCTTTATTCCGCTCATAAAACTGCTTTAAAGCCTGCGGTGTCTGTGCTTGAAATGGTGCCTTTCCCGTCAAACATTGAAAAATAATTGTTCCTACCGACCACAAATCAGCTTTGGCGCAATACTGCAATGACATTATCACCTGAAATTACAAGTCAATAATCATCAACCGAAATGCACTAAACAACGTATTTTAAGGAAAATGAAGTTTCAAAGGTAAGATTTCTGAATATGCTCTTGGATCATAATTAATGGAACAATCAGGTCATCACAGTCCAGAAAATCTACATAAACAAATTTACTTCAGGAGCCATATACATCGGTGAGCCACATAAAGTGGCTGCCATATGACCATCACCTAGAAAACGTGCAAAGCCAAAATCAGCAAGTTTCACAATTAGATCTGTAGCCGGAGGATTCGGACGCTGTCCTGGATTGCATAGCAATAGATTTTGAGGCTTCAGATCCCTGAAAATGCAAACATTAGTCGACTTAAAATTATTCTATTTTCGGCTATAAACAATGACCAGTTTAACACATGTCTTGCGCTAACAAATAAAAACCTAATATGCTAGGATAAGAAACTCCATCTGCAAATTACTCCCATGAGCATCGTATATCATTATTAGCTATTCATTTAAATTTCGATTAAATGTAATCAACAATTAATAGTTTCCAAAATGTTTGAAAATGACCTTTACTTACAAATGATTAAAGAACTTCAATTTCGAATCGAAAGACAAATTTGAAATTGCATCTGTTTAAGTTATAGTACAACATTGTTCAATTAAACAATATGTCTTGACTTAATAATTATATTTTCGCATATACTTAAATTTGCATGTGCGTATTTAATTCCGTACAAAAAAAAAAATGATGAAATGACCTGTGTACGATTCCTTTTTTATTAATTGCTTCAATGGCCCGAGAAATGTGAACAAGGAAATGCTGTATGGTTATTTCAGGAAGTGTTACTTTATTTTGCAAATAGTCACCCAAATCTCCAGCATTGCAATATTCCATTACTAAGAAAACATTGGTAGGCGTCTCGACACATTTCAACAATGCCACCAAATTTTCATGTTGCAAATTAGACAACTCCTAAAATTACATACCTGCCAAGCCCGATTAACGGAATTTCTTTTCAATAAACAATGAATGTTGATCTGAGATTTTGATAACCTTACCTTAAGTATTTTTATTTCTTTGGTGAGCAAATTTTTCGACTTAGTTAAACTTTTTTTTGCAATGCTCTTAATAGCCACCGCAACGTCCTTGCGCTGAAACATAATATTTGCAAATTAGTATTATTTAAAATTGAAGATATTAGTGAAGCTGAAGGAATGAAAAAAAATGATGATAATGATAAAGATTGTGTTGCAAAGCACTGACATCATAAAGGCAAAGAGGTACACGTTTATCAACAGGAATAGTTACTTTCATTTCTGAAGGCTACAAATTTCGCCTTATTCTAGCCGAAGTACACAACTGTCTGGCAAAAGGGAGAGGTGTATTTTTCTGTTGGTACTATTTTCAAACGAAATAAAGATTTTGGGCAAAAAATATAATAAACTATAAGTACTGTGGATAAAAGATATCTTTTTAAAATAATGAGAATCCTTTTTAGCTTTTGTTCATCGCAAGTAGTGATCGGACAAGGTGACAATAATAAATAAGTGAAAAAGTGAAAAATGAATGGAAACTTTAGCCATTTATCAATGAAATGTCTAAGATCTTCCGAACACATCGAAAAAGTGACAAATAAATTATGCCGAATCAACTTCCCTTTTCGATGTGATTTAATTTGCGATCCAGTTTCATAAAAATGAGAACTCAGAGGTGCTGGCCATACCAGGACTTCCAATTTAAAAAATGTTAGAAATGAACATTGAGAAAAGCGGACGACTAACATCAGCATATCGTCCTTTATAAACGATGGCAAATGCACCATGACCAATCAGATCTTTCTTCGTATATTCGAAGCCATCAAACTTTTCCATGTCTTCTCCTTCAACTCATCATGATTTCTGCAAAATCATTTCTATCTTCAGTGAACACTCAAATGAACAATAAATTTTGCGAATTTCTCGAGTTACGTCATTACTTAATGCATGAAAACAGTAGGATAATCACAATCACAGAGATGATAACAAAGATGATGAATAACAGAAAATCATAGGAAAACAAAGAACACTTAAATAATATTTTATGGGCTAATGTACACTTTGACATATTTCATCAATGTCAATAATTTTTGCTGGGGAGAAAAACTCGGATTTTATGGATTATAAGAGATGTAAAATGGTATCCTGGAATATAAGATGAGTACTCTATAAATCATATCGCTGTGGAAATTAACTAAAAGCATGACATGCCAAGATCAGTCTATGTATCTTTTCACTATGTTAGAGTATGCGTTGAGAATGGTGTGCTTTGGAGACGCAAAAAAGATGAAGCGAAGCGATGAACTGGGGGTGTAGCAGTAACAAATTAAACAAGATCGAGTATTCCAGAAATGGCAATGAAAGCCAGCAATGCCATTTCAAGCAAGCAATGCAATGCGGTGGATGAGATGATGCATCGATGGACCCAACTGAAGACTAACGGTCTGAATCATCATCAACAGCAGCACCCTTTTATTTATCCTTTATATTTTATCCCGAAAAATAGTTTCGCTTATAAATAAATGGATAAGAAAATGAGGTAGCAGTCAAAATTCATTTGTTTATCAGTTATATCATCGTCAATCCTTCATCTCATTGAAGAATTCCTTGCACCACTTTCCAAAATCTAATTAGAAGTTAATATCAAATACTGGATTAATTCTGATATTTTTTGGTCTTTATCTACCATCTTAAACGTGTTCCAGAATTTAACAATGTTCAAGAATGATGCTTTAAAAAGTGGTTACCATTGGAGCCAACATTATCGCCTGAGTGGTATACCTCCTTGCCTTGTCTCTAATTCGTCAGCAAATTAGAATCTTGTTATTACTTTACACATTCTTTGGAACCGATAAGACAGCCATCTAGCGCGTTGTAATCCGCAACGTGATAAAAACGTTGGATGCTCTGCTGGCCGTAGTTGTACGGAAGATGTGCAACGAGAGTGAGCATGTCATCATCACAAAGAGAGTGGCATTCGAAATAATTTGAAAAAATGAACTTTATTGTGCACAAAATGACCTTGCACGTAGCAAAATAATTACCATTATGGAAATGAGAATTCTTGTAGAACGGTCACAAATAACATTACAGAAACTGTTAAAATTTGTCGAAATAAGCGAATTATCTGAAATATTCAAAGAAATTAAAATTAAAAAATATCATTTATATGAACTGCAAACGCGCTTTACCATATCTTGAATGTATTATTTCCCACTGTAGAGGGAAAAAGTTCCAAAAAACCATTCTGCTGCTTACGCTAACCGCTTACTTTTCAGTAACAACTATTACAACCTTACAATAAATTCAAAAAAAAGAAAATATCATCTAATAGAATTTAACAATTTAAAGAATCGCATTACCAAAACTGTCTAGGCATATCATCATATTTTTATATCATCACATGATATAAAAAATTCGGCAGGATGATTTACTACGAAAGATTCTTAAATTTTATAAAAAAAATGCTTTTGAATTTCGTTTATGAAAATTTAAAACAGCAAAAAAAAGTGAAGTTGAAAAAAGAAAAAATTTTGAAGAAAAATAAAAACAACTGATTCATAACTACAATAAGATTTTTAATTAACTCTCTAAAATTAAATGTGAATTAGCTAAGGTCATTCAAACAAACGTTAATAAATGAAAAGCGTGTGGAAACAAAACTGGATGAATGAATGAATGCTATTCTTGTCGAAGAGTGAATAAATAAAGATGAGGAAAATGATGCAAAGAGTCCCAAATTTTAGCCGTTTAATCAATACGCTAGTGGAATATTCTAGAATTTTACTACATGTAGTAGTGTTTTATAATTTGCTCCTGTTAGGCCACGTTTAAAGCTATTCTTCGATTCATTAGTGAACAAGCAAACCAAGATACGTTTAACTAAAAAAATAAGAATGAGTGGGATGAAAGTCTCATTCAAGTTAAAATGATATAAAATAATTTTGCAAGCAAATACGCGAACTTTCCCGAAGACGGTCGAAATCCCGATCATGAATAAGATGATTATTGAGATTAACATGCACAGCGTAAGAGGTAAATTGTGGGAAGTTCAAAAGGCATGTAAACTACTACAAAATCTTCAAGCATTCATTATCACATTAGAAATAAGATGAGCTGAAATTGCAGAAGATAGAACTCTTCCCTTTGCTAGATCTTTTGAATGATCGAATAAACATAGAAAGAACACTGGAGAAAGAGGGAAAGTAGAATGAAAAGATGATGAGGAATAACTTTATGGAAGGGATCGAAAGTAGTAGCATTGAATTTTAAAGATGGAAAAGTACAATTATTGGATGGCTAATATATAAAATTGAATAGAATGGATGACGAGGGACCACAACCAACTAGTGGACAGGGACATAAAGAAAGTACAACTAATGAACAGTGAACAGTGGAAAGGGAAATGAATTGCATATGGAAGAAAGAAATGGAGAAGACAAAAGACGGGATAGAATGAGGGATAAATGCACCTCAACTCTCAGCTCACCTTCCATCATTCATTTCCCTATTGGATTATCAGCTAGCAATCTTCATCTAAGACATCACATCACTTGGGAGACATATAACTAACAAACGCACTTGTATTTTAAGTAACTGCTGCACAGAGTTGTAGCAGAAAAAAGGATCCGCTTTAAAAAGATCACTAGCTACAGCTATAGCTACAACGGCAGCAATAGCAGTAGTAGTAGCATCTCGTATAAGCAGTACTCACAGTCACCTCGAAATACTTCAATTGCTACTCCAGCAGAATATCAATGAATGAATGAGTGAGTGAATGGGAGGATGTGAGAGGGTCAACACTGAAATCAAATCACATTACATCACCTAAGGGTAATGTAATTAAAATGTAATTAGATATAATGATAGTGGTGTTCCTGGTATAGAACCACATCGAGAAGATAGTACAAATAGTCGCGCTGGCAAGTTGAAAATTTTTCTAATGAAAAGTATAACACTTTCCTAATCCTAATGAAAAGTTTAACACTCTATTCAGACCTGTTTTGCACTCTTTTTGATCATCCCGTGAAAAGTGAATTTCTTGAACTTCTTTTCAATTATCCTAGGTAAAATAAAATCATGAGAGTTTCAGGAAGCTCTGCTCTTCCCATTCTTCCCAATATTTGTTAAAGAAACAATTTACTTTGGATAATTCGCTATAATTCAAAACAATAAATAAAATGAATAAATAAATAAATCAAAATTTCCAAAGAATATGCCACAAATTACTTGAAATTAGGATTTTCGATGAACATGATAATAACATTACAAAGTAGAAAGTTCCGGACTATTATCAAAAATGTTTACCTCAACATGGCAGTTACTTTTCTCAATCTTTTTCAAATAGAACATTCCAGGTACATATTAACACAGTAGCCATGCATTGCACTGTAAATGCAACAAAAAACACATGAGATATGAGAAGTAAATGGAATGAGCAGAAATCAATAGCTGTGCAATCTCTGAACGAAATAAAAAAAACCCTGGAAATGTTGAGAATCAATGCTTCTAATAACATGAGCATCCTATTAAACATTTGTTCAATAAGGCGAACAAATTACAAGACTTACAAATGAGGACAATGTTACAAACGAGTAAAGATCTTAATAGGTTTGAATCAGCTCGAGATCTTAAAAGTGCATGTTGAAGGACAAGTTCATCTCGGAATGAAAGTTAAAATGAGCCTCGAATAATATCGATATTCATTTAACGCTCGAAGGCTCTTTTAATTTCATCATACCTCATATAATCAATATCAGATCAATTCAATAAATCATTAATGAATATTACCTTTATTTCATACCATTAACATCAGCAATGAAAAATTTATTGGCATCATGTGTTTTAAATTTTTATGCACATTTGTGAAAAATTGTTAGAGTACAACTATAACGATATAGCGGATCCTTTCGACTCAGAATTTTGCAAATGATGTCACTGGTTGGATCTCATATGAATAACTATCACTATCAATCAATATAAATGATAACAGCAACATACACAAGTATAATAAAAATGTTAACAAATGTGTATGTTAAACAACTGTTCAGACATTCATATGACTGAATCACCATTCATAACTTTAACCAAAGCCATATACATTTCGACACATAACGTAAATAGCAATATCTAGAAGTGTAACATGAAAATCATTTCTGGAACTTTTTCAGAAAATCTGAAAACATCTCTGTGGAAAGAAGAAATGGTTGAAGGATTATCAAGTCGACAAGAAATCAATTAATTGCTTGGACATAATTTCCTGGAAACAGTCCAGTACACCCATTAAGTACACCCTCGTACCAACCATCTTCATTCTTTCGTAAAACATAGACGATGCAGTTTTCTCTAAGGGTTAATTCGTCCGGTTTTTCTGCTTCGTAATCGTACAGCGCAACTGCTAAAAATGCGTTTCATCATACTGCTCCAATACTTACTTAGCTCGAGCTTTCTACCTCCTAGATTTTTTTTTTGTATTAGTATTATATTAAAATAATTTATTTCAAAGACAGAAAATGAACAGTTATTCCCTTGACGTCTCAGTTGTTCTCTAATCGTAATTGTAAAATTGTCAAAACTACACACCTTTCTCAATATAAATTTTTGGGATCCAATCATATGAACGGTCAAATGGAGATCCAAGTAGAAAAGGTGAGCGGCCGTTACCAGATGGCGTGCAATGGTTTTTTGATGATGTTGACTCGTAAATTGGCGTCATTGTAGCCTTCATTGGAGGAGGTGGTAGTGGTTCATCGTCCATCATCACAGAAGTAGGTGGTGGTGGAAGTCCATCTGTAGTGAGAAAACAGTAAAATGGGACTTGGGTAACAAAATCAAACGGTAAAAATTACTGGACCAAAAGCATCAATTTTATTTATTTCCAAGCACATATTAAATTAGCATCAAAGATCTACCTAAACTATTCGATGACAACCTATACTGGGCTACTGATGCCAATTGAGGAGGAGGAAGAGGCATGGATTGCTGCGAATCTCTTTTTCTGTTTATAGTACCATAATTTGATGCATTTGAAGTACCATTATAGTTTTGGCTTCCGTGTGTAACAGTAGAAAATCTTTGAGGATCTATAACTGGCGTCGTAGCCACTTGTGGCATACGATAGTGATCTCCACGTGTCGTCGATGAGCGGGAAAGCTAAAATAAATGCTGACCAGCTGCACATCAGTTTAGCCAGTTATTACTAATTACATGTACTATCCATTCCGTTAAGCTTAATATAGCGAAGCTGATGGACGAATCCCTCCGACTAGCACTGATTTGATGCTAAAATCGAAGCAAGACTATTTCGGAACATACATACTACTGGACAACTCAATTCATTAATGTTATCAGCTACTAAACTTGCAAAATACAAGGTTGGCCAGATGTGTCGCTGATGAGCATCTGCTACGATAACCACAAGGCATATTTGTTAATCATTTTAACAGCTAAAATATCAAATCTATCTCAACATTCTGAAAAATTAGGAAAAATACCGTAGCAGTGATATTTGCTTTAGGGAGCAATTGTTCAAAATTAGGAAAAACCGGATAATGTGCACTAGTGTTTCCATGAGATATAGTCGAGACCACGCGTGTTGCAAATGAACGATTCGCTGGCTCAGGAGTTTTAACACCATGTCCCAAATTATCCAATACCGAATAATCGATTGGAGTACGTTGGTAACGTTGAGGAGGTTCCTTAAGAAAGTGAAAGAATAATTAAGTTTTAGCTTTAATAAGCATCGATGAATGGAAAAAAAAAATGAACAACTCATAATGTAACAGAAATTTCGATGATTAAATAACCTGAACTCCAATTGCGATAACTTTGTGTTGTCTCTGGATACATTTGTTTATTGCTAATACTCCGATTTCCCTCCTCGCTACTTTCTCTTTATGAATTGCAACGATTTCTCCCACGTTCCGAACCTAAAAAGCTGGGTGTGAAATTTGAAATTATGTATGACAAGAACAATTTCCTTCAGAATTTAAACTGCTTTCAGACAATAAGTTTGCAGTTTATATTTGAATTGTTACTTCTCATTCAGTAATTAATAGTTGATTCAAATCTAGAAGTGCAGGAGTTTACAAGTAAATGAAGTGACCTTTTCATTTTATTGTATGTGGAAAAGTGTACTTGCGGTCATTTACTGAATAACTTGCAAAATATCAAACTAAACATTTAAATAACAATGAACACGTTGATTTTCTGAACATTTCAGTAATGATCAAAGAAAAACGCACCTGCGATGCCATGTTATTGATTTTATCAGTTTGCAAATCGAGTGCATGTAATAGAGCATACGCCAAAGTATTCACCTGATATGCTACACTAGCAAGACTTTGCACTACATATCGTCTTGTTTCATCAAATGCCGCCTTTTTATTTTGTGCCTGAAAAGAAACATTATTTTACGGTGCTCTAAGGTGCTTCTTGGACTCGAGATCTAAAAGGAAACATTTCCATATAGCAGCCCTTCTAATTCTCTTGCCGACTAATAAAACGTAAGACCGATTGATTTTTCAAAAGACTCTTTTACGACATAATATGGGCTTAATCCATTCATTACAGAGAAAAAGTCTCCAAATCTCTCATTACTCTCTGATAAATATCAATATTAAGTTATGCAAATGCTGAGCAGATGCAAACTTCGATGATTCAATTATTATATATTTCCCTCTAAAGCAGTTCAACATGTCCAAATTTAAAATCAAAAAAAGTCAGGATCAAACATACCAAATGCATTACCTATACAAGCAAGAGTACCTGTGCATAATTTGCTTCACAGTAAGCAGCAACCCGTTCTAAATTTGAACAACTGCTTTCCAGATTCGATCTGCCGTCCGGGATCTCGTTTTCAATCAGGCTACGCAACGTAACAGCACCTTCGGACCCGTCCACCATTACTGTAAATATAAATGTTAACTGCGATATACTGTTGCAATCAGAGAATTAGAAATCTGATTATCTGTTATCCCACCTTTCATAATTACAGCTAGCGATTCTATCCATTCCGTTACATCGGAAGGATAAAGGTCAATAATGGAAAGTACAACAAATTTCTAGCCACCCAACATCGTCCACACAACACCCCAGATTACAACAAACCGTTCTTTTTTCCTTTCCATCTCTCTAAGAAAACATTCCGAGAACAGAAAGAATTACACATTTCTTCACTTTCTTTATAAATTCCACCGCAGAACTCACTCTCTCACTCTTCCCTTGCTATCTCTAACATCCATCTCATATCATCATTCTCTACTTTTAACTCTCATCACATTATGTATCATTATCTTCAAATATTTCCTCCATTCCTGACTGAAGAGTATTTCTCGAATATCAACGTTCCCTGTTTTCTCCTATGAATCTATGCTACTTCTTTCATTCCAGATTCTCTCACAATATCTGTAATCTCATGATAAACTCTTTCGCATTTTTTTGTCTTTCGCTCTTTCTCCCTTCATGAAACGGAAGAAAACTTCATATAGAAATCTCTTTCCTGTTCTGCAAAGAAATAGCGCGAAAGGTCTTTCCTGGCTATATCAAAGCAATCTTCCATGATCAACAAATATTTCATAGGCTTTACCGAAATGCATCAGCAATTAGTCTGATCAACTGGCTAGATAAAAGCGACAATTGGAAGAATAATGGATAGAGTTCACTTCCACATGCATTGTAGCTGCCTTATACCACTCCACAGCCGTACGACAGCTCCGCAATGCGCACGAAACTTGATGTGATGGAAAAATCTTTTTATACGTGTATTCACATATTTTGAAGAAAGTGTAATTTGATTACTTAATAGTTCGGGTGTACGAAGTGTGACATCATTCAATATATTGAATGATAACGAATTTTTCATCATTTTCATTAGAGTTTCGAAGAATTACTAAAAGTTAGTTTGTTCAGAATTTTTTTTAGAAATAATAATCAAAAAGAAATAAATAAATCTAAAGGGATTTGTTGAAATTTTATAGGAATAATTCTCAACTCTATTCGATACTTATAGAATAAAAATGATAAAATGTAATATAAAAATGAAAAGAATCCATAAAAACTTCTATTAATTGAAATTCCACGAAAATCGAAATCGAAAGAAATTTCGTCGTAATTCTACCATCATAAAACTTAACATTATTACTTCATTAGCGAAAATTAATAAAATCCTCAACCAATTCTTCATTCAATCAATCTAATAGTCATTCATTCGTTTTTTTTAACAATGCAGAAATGCAATTCTGCAGTATTGTAATGCAATTGTGCAGTTTATTTGCAACGCTGTTTTACAGTGTTTCTTATAGTGCAATTGTGCAGTATTACTTATAATACGCAGTTGTGTAGTATTTTTTATCCTCGCAATCGATACTCTTGCGCCTATAAGCCGTATTTAACTTGGAGGAAATATTCAGTCATGATGACTAAAGTACTTCATGGAGCATTGTCAGAATTCGAACTTTGAGTTACACTTCGTTCGTAAATTCTTTTGGAATGGAATCTATCAACTCATCGATTTTTCTGCCAACTCTTTATTTCTTTTCCACTTTTTCATTTTGTTGTAATTCATTACGCTCATTTAAGTGATCGATTGATGTAAACTTTCTTACAATTTTTAACTTTTAATCACACTTAACTTCTCTCGACAACTCTTTTCGAGTAATAATTATTTGTCGTACTCTCATAAAAATGTTCATTTTCTCTTACAAGTGATAAAACTTCAGTGGAAATGGAAATATTTATGAAATGTTCAAACAATTGATATCATTTTTAGGTAAGAATGAAATTTTCTAGATGAGTGCTTGAAGTGGGCTGCTTAAGCTCTATCAAAAAATAAGCACAATTGCAACATATTGTCGTTCTTTACATTACAGAATTTTTAGAGAGAAAGAAGTGACATAGAAATATTGAAGAACTGCTTGAAAGTAAAAAGTAAATTTATATGTTCTCACATAATACACGAAATGCAACAGAAAACGGGAATATTTACAAACCAGAATGATGTGTGTAATCGATATATGTTTTCCATGTACATGGTAGTGGATTTGAGTAGCTTCTGGATCAATAGCCTAATTATTACAATCATAACATACCTTGGCCTCAATCTGTAGTGCTTAGAAGCGTTCGCCCAAAAATATTACTGCTGTAATGATACTTTACGAACTTTAGGATTAAAAAAGAATGACGTGCATAGCAAGACGGCACTGATATATAAAGCAGTATAATGCGCAAAAGTTTCTATAAATTTTAATTTTCAAAAAACTATCATTTTCTTCTGTTTTTCAGTTTTTCACGGGTGATCAATATTACAATATTGTGCAGCGTATTAAAAAGACCTCTCTATGAGTGATGTAATTGCATTTTAGGAGGAAGCTAATTTAGTGGAGAATGAATCTGATGGTGTGAAAAACTACTTCATTGCATAGATCATTTCAGGCCAAGCTTGAGCAAGCAATCTATGAAACTCATACCTATGATATGCATTTGCAATGATATGTGACATTCATATATTAAATTAAAGGAAATTAAATTGTATTCAACGCCACAAACAACATTATAAGAAACTTGAAATTTGCAATAATTTGCACTGTTACTGGGTTATTTCTTTCATCTGAAATTTCCTCATCTTATTGATGAGGAAATTTAATATTCTTCGGTAACTGCAACTTGAGCTGTTTGTTAGAATTCGATCAGAATACCTTGTAAGTATCATTCCATTCACTCTCGCTCCAATACCCAGCTTCATGAACATTTTTATGAGATTTGTACCAAGTGAAATTTGCTGTTGAATGCGGTATTTTCCAGTTACCATAGTCCGCCTGAAGTTGATAAAATCTTTCATAGTTTTCGATCATATTCATTTTATACTGTGCTTCAATCAGCTCATGAATCTATAAAAAGAACGCGAAAATTCAAGAATGAGAAGAAGATTAATCTAAACTTCAAACATACATGATTTTTCAAAGGGTAATGATAACTTTTGGATCTTCTAATCTGCTTCCTCACCTGGCTTAGTTTGCATATAACAAAAAATTCGCGAACATACCTTCAATACTTCCTCAATATTGCAAGGCACATGAAACAATCTTCCCAGTAGATCTCCTGTACAAATCTGTGAAATGAGTGGATAAATCCAACGAAATTTTTTCTTTTTGCTGACGATCATTCCACCCACCCAAGCAGAATCATTCGTTTCGTACAGGAAGAATAAATCTATTTTGATGTTTGCCGAATAAACGCTTACTTCTAATGAATCGTTAACCTAAACAGAATTTTAATTTTCATTTTTGGAGAATATATGATTGAACTAAATGAAGCGAATAAAGTTCTAATTTGGCTTATTAATGAATTACGAACTAATGAACTAAATAATTATCTAATAATCGTTCATTTTCTTAATCATGATAAGTGGAATTTTGTTCGATTATGCAAACAAACTTTTCCGAGGATCCAAAAAAGTTTGAAATCATTCGACTTCTCCATATTTTTTAACATCTTTAGATCTAGGGAAGCAATTTTCATCGCCAAATCAACATCCGTAGTATCTTTGATAAATGAGCATTCCCTGTACCAACCTGATATAAGCTACTCTATATTAACTGAATAAATTCTAGAATTTCTTGTTTATTCAGTCTTATTAATTTTCCCATCGGTGGAACAAATAAGGTTATTTGAAAAACGATAGAATGAAAGAACTTTTCAAGATGACAATGGAAGCATGATTTTGCTAATTATTGAAATCAGCCTTCCTATGATGTCTTATGACAAAGGAGGAGAGAAAACAAAGTAAAGAGGTATACAGTTTGATTTAAAAAAAGAATTGATTTCATAACTTCATTAATAATTTAATACAGTCTATTTAAAAATGAATTTAAAAAAGACCAAGAAGGGTGCCGCCGAAAAGAAACGGTGTCGCTGCATAGGACTCGAGAAAGTCTCGAAATTTAGCCACATTGTTGACATAACTATCAGGAATAACGGATTTATCCCAGTTACTCGAAATATTCAACCTCATGCAATCAAGAAATCTTCCATTGCTCCATTTCCGAAGGAATTCTTCTTTGTTTACCGGCATCCATGTTTCCCTTTCAAATATATGTTTCTTAATTGCATATAGGCTAAAAACAATTTCTTCAATTCTTTTAACATTGCAAAAGAAATTCTTTAATATGATCTCTTAACATCACAAAGATTATTCATTCACTTTAATCTTTTGCTCAGTGTTCAGATAAATTTCCAACTGAGAGAGATACAGATAAGATACCAATAGGACTTATTGGTACCTTCCAAATTTTAATGTCTCACTTATAGCTACCAGATTGTCATTTGCTTTTTCTTCTTATGTCTTAATGATTTATATTTCTCTTTCTTTCAAAGGAATTATAATAATATCATCTCTTTTTTATTAATTTTTCTGCATAACGTTATTCAATTCTAAAGTTTTTCATGATACCTGCACAGATTATACATTCCAATATAAAAATTAATTTCAGACCAGCAAAGCCGGCAGCTTTTAATTCTTTAAAAGAATAGGAAACATAAGTGCTAAAAGTATACCCATAAGCAGCTCGCAGATCTTCATTTCGCACAAATTTTATATAATCTTCGTTTGATGAATTTATCATTCTATAGATAATAATATTACCAATTGCTACCGTATTTTCTGAATCATCATATGTACCGAAGACATATTTATTGGGGATTACATCACAAAACCAAAATAGATGATTAAATTGTTTCAAATACTGTAATTCTTGCTTTTCCTGAAGGAAATAATTATAAAACTTTATGGTTGACAAAAATTACATTTCTCATATGGCATTCAATAAAATAAACTGGAAAGAATTTCAGCAAATGAATGAATATTATTTGTATGTTGCGAAGAAAATACAAAATCGTGAAAAATTCAAAAATTCATACCAAATGTAAATTGCCATCAATGATATCAGAATAATTATCACTTGCAGCAGTATATTTGAAGTTTTGTATGATATTCTTAATATATTGAAAGTAATAAATTATTCCCATTAGCGCAATTATTGTAACAAAAATACGCAAGCAAAGATGTCTGACTTTCAGTGATACCATTGTTTCTCATAATGTGCGATAACAAAGCATCCTGAAAACAAATGATATATATTATAAAGATTAAAATACTACTACCACATCCTTCCATTAAGCTGTTGAAAATACAATTGTATAATTTCACGTCTTACCGCGAAAAGCTTTGACGTGCCAAATATTAAAATAATTTGCTCCGAAAATGTTCCGTAAAAGAAATTAGTGAATTAGTCGCTTTCATTTATTCCCTAAATAAGCTTGCAATTAAAATTTTTTCCTTAAAGATGATGCTTTTAGCAGATTTACCTTCCAAAGTTTAAATTTCATCACCGAAATTTATAGTTTCCTGTAGTCTGTTTGTATATTTCTTCTAAAGATATATTCAATGACAATTTTATAGGATTCCGCTGGTTATTATAAGTAGACGGATTATTATTCTATTGGAATAATTAATTAATTGTAATAAGGTTCAAACCCCGACATCAATGACACTATGATATTTATTCTTATAGTTTTTACATTTTGTTAGTAGTAGATATATAGAGAATTTTGTACTGTTTCCTTCCCTTCTCTTCATCACTTTTATTATATTCATTTAGAAAGATACAAAGGGTAATCATTTTAGAGTGTATGAATTTGTCAATGTTGACCAATATACGTTACATTTGTATGCATTGGAATTAATGGTCATTCAACCAGGTGACTTCAACACCAACGAAATGCTCTCTTATTGTTCAGTATTATACTGAAGAGAGCGTTGTACTGAATTATTAGATAATTTTATGAAATAAAGAGAATCTGATATTTACAAATGACATCGTGAACTTTAACATTCTGATGAAAAAACAGAAATTGAAGTTCAAAAATTATCGTTTAAAATGAAGAAGATGAAGTCCGGTGACAAGAGGTGGAACATTGATTAAATTAGAGATAAGAATTGATAAATCATATCTTTCTTGTCGGAGAAGTCTTTTAAATAAATGTCATTTTGAAAAGTCGACTAATGTACGCTCTGAAAAAAATAATACTGTTGCTAAGTAACGAATAGAAAATCATTTAAATATATACTTAAACAACAAAATATAAGATGAAAAATGGAAATGAAGTTGTGATTAGTTATTGATAAGATGAAGTCCGATGACAAGAGGTAGAACATTGCTTAAATTAGAGATAAGAATTGATAAATGAAGTAAGTCTAATAAATAGAATGAGATGATTGCAACAAAATAAAGATAAAAGTGTCAATAATTAATGATAATTTTTAATAATAAGCAGTTACTATAAACAGTCAAAAATGTTTATCCGAATACTTCAAAAAATAAAAGAAAACATTTGGTGAAAAACATTTTATAAAAGGTAGAAATTTCATAGAGTGATATAAAATTGGAATTATATTGAGTTATCAATATCATGCACAGAGAGGAAGAAATGTTTAAAAGCGAGTGATTCGATGAAAACACATAAAATATATATGAACAAGAGATTACTGTTAAGTTGTTAGTGTTTTATGATGAATTTTTAGCCTCTTTAAATAACGCACTTTTTTTAATTAGCAGATTATCTTCAAATAACACCCTTTTCAACTGCGATCAATTGCACTAAAACTAAAATTGGTTAGGAATATAAAACGATATAACTAAATAGTTATGATTCATTCTTGAAAACTTTTTCTGTAGTCATAATGTCGCGAAGTTTCTGAAAGCTTCTATTAACCAACAATATTGCTTAATCAGAAAATGAATATGTTTAGATGGATTATTTTAGTTTGAAGTTTATTTCTAATTTGAATCTACTTCTACTTCTAAGAGTGCCAATTCTAAGAGATACTTGTTTGCAAATAATTCAGAAATATATTGCAGAATATTTAAGTGAAGTAAGAGGTAAAAAGTTTAACATTTCAGTCTTGAGAAATCTCTTCAAGATGGCATTAATTAAAAGCAAAATAATGAACAAGAGACAACCGGTCACTATGGTGCAAATCATAATTTGGCATTTGTCTGCAATGACAAAGCATCTGTTCAAGTATTTTCTTTCTTTATCACTCTTTAATATTTCACATAGGCTTTTTATGAAATAAGGTTGAAAAATAACGAAAATAGATTGCGACTGCGACTCCTTTAATTTTAACATCTCATTCGATTTAATCCTGAAAATGATCTTCCTAGAATTTTAACATATTCGAAATTACAAATCTGTAAGTAAATTATTTCATCAATAGAAAAACTTGCATTAACAATAGTAGCATTTTTGAATAGTTATTCTTCTGATCACTTTTATTCGAATGCAAGAATATCGGTTATAAAATTAGAAGAATCACAAGTTCAATCAGTGAGATTCCGAACTGTGATAAATTAAATTGGGAAATGTGTTAATACCTGGAAACGCTGTTCATTTGAATTATGTAAATAAGCTGTAAAGAAGAGAACTGGCATGAAATATGATGTTTTAACATTCAATTCTTTATGTATGAAAAGATGCATATTCTGATCGGAGCTCATTTATTTCTTTGAAGAGACATTTATTTCTCAAGAAGCTAGACTAGAATGTTGAACTTTTTACCTTTTATTTCACTTAAATACTCTGCAACATATTTCTGAATTATTTGCAAACAAATATCTCTTAGAATTGTCACTTAGAAGTAAATTCAAATTAGAAATAAACTTCAGACTAAAATAAGCCATCTAAACATTCATTTTCTGACTAAACAGTTACTATTGGTCGATGAAAGCTTTCAGAATCTTATGGCTACAGAAGAAGTTTTCAGGAATGAATTATAACTATTTAGTTATATCGTTTTATATTCCTAGCCAATTTTAGTTTTAATAGTTAACTTTGGATTTAAATTGTAATTTTAAGCATTCAAACATTGAACTTTCTTATTTATTATTTAACAAAGACAAAAGTTTTGCTTGTAATTTAAAAGATATTGGAAATTCGTTTAAGGAAATAATTCTTTTTAATTTGTTCTATATTTCGTCATTTTTTCATTTTTCGTATTTTGTTTCTGAAAATTTCCTGAATAATTAATTTGCATAAAAAAGAAAACAATTTTAATAAAGGTTAATTAAACATTCCATTCGTATCATTACATTTGAGTTAGTATTAATTCCTTATTTGTTTGTACAATTTTCAAGCATCAAAGATCAATGTTTATAATTTCTGAATCATTATTTTTACCAAATGAACTCAAATTTAAATTTTCAACTTAAATAAATTGTTATAATTTATTGGTGCAATCTAGCTCGAATGAAATTCCATGCAGTTCTATTACCTAATGATTGCTATTTAATGAATTATTACCTCACAAATGTCAACAATATATGCAATAACTATTCATTGATTGAAATTCGGAATTTGTAGAACTGTTAATATTTCTTTTTACCTGTTTAAGGTACATACTATTTACCTGTTTCACGTAGTCTGATTTTTTTAGTTAGTTTTTTTGCCTTATTTTACGGATAATCATTGAGAAATAGACAGTTACTTCCATAAAATTCACGGATGATTTATCAAAAATAAATTGTAGCTGAAAAAGGACGCATTAAACGAATAATAATAAGGTCAAAAGGAATCAGCGCAACACTAACGTTACCTGAAACGGTAAAGCAAAGCAATTGAATAATATTTTATTTTGAAAGTATCAAAATTATAAAGTAATTATACTTATTAGCAAATAATTTCTTATCCCATTCTCTTTACAATTAGCTATTTAATTATAATACTTCGCAATCAAATGACAATGTCGTAATTCAACAATGAAGTAAGCCACAATTTTAACAACCTCAAATTTGGATCAAATTCATTCATCTTCAGGAAATAACAAAAAAATTTTACCATAAATTTCTGATTATGAATCTATCCATTTTTAGTAAAAGAATTACATTTATATTATAATTGTTCATTCTTTCAAACTTTATGAGCATCCGCAAGAAATAATTTGAGTGCTAAAGTTATTCTTTTTGAATAGATAATTCCATTATCAAATATTCTACCGGTTATTATGGTATCAAGAAGAACTTACCTATGATAATGTATTTAAATATGAAATAAGGTATGTCAAAGTTCGACAGGAACTGAACTGAACTTAGATGAAATGTACTTTTTTTGTTTATTTTGAAATTATCAAGAGTGAAAAAAACATGCTAGTTTTTGATAAGTTCACTTGCAATGAAAATATAAATCACAGACAAAATGGTCCATTAAAACTATCAATTATGCAAATCGTGCAGTTCACGCATCTGTCACAATAAACATATTTTACTGAGATTATTCAAACAAATATATAAAAGACGACTATCTTCTGCCATTTTAAGAGAGCTTCTTTCTTGCGATTTTTTCTCTGCGATACGCATTTCTTTGCCTGCAATGACCACATGTGATCGATCACTTTGGAGAATAGAAATGCTTTTTGAAATCACTTTGTTTGAAAATGTCATTTGCAATGGTTGTTATTACCAATGTTACTTTCCTACATTGCTACTTGTCCAGCTATTAGAATTTATATGATTCACGTATAACCCAAGTTTGCAGCACGCTGACGCTATTTACTGGAAATATTGTCATATAGAGATGGCTACTACCAAATTGTTTCATTTTATCCAGCAATTATAGATGATTTGAATTGTAAAGTCTAGGATGATAACGGTATTAGCATTGATAACGCTTCCCTAATTTGTTTATTTCAACCATTAGAAGAGTATGATATTTTATCATTAATTGCTACTGATAACTTCCGACGACGTAATTCGATTGAATTACACCGGGGAAATTTCAGCCACAGCGATGTTAAAATTTCCTTTATTAAGGTATAGAATACTCTTTCCATTTATCCTAACCTCTCAATAAAGAAAAGTATGAAAGATAGAAAGTCTTCTTTACAAACCTCTTCGCGATTATCCAATCAGTCCATGTAGACAAAAGCTTAAAGACATTTCTAATTCCAGAAAACTTGAGAAATAGGAAAATTCTGTGATCAATATGAAGAATTGGAAACTGAGATAATCTTTCACTGAATATTATTAATCTTC